TTTCTGGCCATAATTCTCTTTCAGGTAATCTCTTATTTCACTTTTGTATATAAAAGTTCTTTGTGTTTCTCCTTTTCCGTGCCATTGGCTTCGCTAGCCATCACCAGCAGACAGGTAGCTGCCTATGCGTTAAACAACACGAATGTTAGAAAACCAGTGTCATATTCGTGATCAGGGCCCCAAATAACCCCTATTCAGAAGTTTACAGCGAATTTGGTGATAATCAGTAGTGGCGCCAAAAAAGGATGTCATATTCGTGATCAGGACCCTCGATAACCCCATAGCAAAGTTTCAGCGAAAATTATTTTTTGACCCATCTCGGCTCCACATATAATACTGCTATATTGCCGCTGCCACTGCTAATTTTTTGTAAAGGATCCCCCATTATGTGGAGAGGATGGTAAGGAGCTTATTATGGAGTCGTGCTTCAGACTGAGTCCAAATTCATTTCCCCCAAAGCTCGGCTAGGTGACAAGTAGTTGCCTTGCCGTGGCAGCGAGAGCGCACCCACCCGTTTAGTTCAACCGTGATAAGCAGTCGTACCCCTCTTACTAGAACTTGAAACTTTACCAGCACATACGTACCATGAACAACCGAGGCAGGAATAGCCGAGTGGTTAAGAGGTTAGACTCATGTCTGCACCTCTGAAAAGCGAGTTCGATCCCTGCCGAGGTGAACCATGCCTTGCAAAACTTGCAAAAATGGTTCTAGGACCAGCATCGGGAGTTGACTGCACATACCATGAAGTTGTACGAGCGGCTGGTCGACTCGAAACTGCGGGAGCTGGTCCCGATCTCCCAGGAACAGTTCGGGTTCATGCCCGAAAGTCTACAACGGATGCCATCTTCATCGCTAGGCAAGTGATGGAGAAGTATCGAGAAAAGCGCCGACCCTGCTACCTAGCCTTCCTCGACCTGGAGAAGGCGTTCGACCGGCTACCGCGAGCAGTGCTATGGAGGGCGCTCAGGGAACGAACGTGCCAGAACACCTGATCTCTCTGGTGAAGGATATGTACGAAGGGCCAAGGCAGCTATACGCACCCCACACGGCCTAACGAAAGGAGGTGGACATCACGGTTGGGGTGCACCAAGGGTCAGCTCTGAGCCCGTTCCTCTTCCTCCTAACACTAGATGTCATGGTGAAGGGGCTCAAGGACCACTAAAGACCATCCTCTACGCTGACGACATCGCCCTGATAGCGGATAGCAGAGAAGAACTACAGGGAAGGCGAAATGGCAGAATGTACTGGTAGAAGGCGGGCTCCGGCCTAGCCGCCGTCGGTGTCGTTGGATCAGAAAGTAAAGGCACACATCAACGCGGCATGGAGAGAGTCTACTGGAATCTTCTTCGACCAAACTCCAGAACGCTCAAAAGGAGCTAGGTAAAGGTAGCGGGCGGAGCTAAACTGGTGTATAATATAATCGGCTAAGCGGTGTTGTGTGTGTGTGTCTGTCTGACCGGAAATTCATAACTTCGTTCCCTTTGGACCCAGAGCGCTCAAACTTCTAGGATATATAGGGGCTGGACGTGAACACTGATGATGGGTGGCGGGAAGTGATAACTACTGATAGAAGCTGATAACGGGCGTCAGAATGCCGATGTCACCAACTTCGTTACGCCGTTCGCGTTGGCAGTGGATTGCTAGCACTCATGAATATTGTGTAGGGTAGGACTGGGACCCAAATGGTGAGCGAAGGAAAGTGATAGCAAATGATAAGGGCTGATAAGGGGCATCGGAATGCTAACGTCGTCAGTTTCGCAACGCCCTTTGCGTTGACCCTAAGATGTTCGCACTCATGAATATTATGTGGGGTGAGGCAGGGACCAAAAGGGTGATTGGAAGAAGGTGGTAGCAACTGATAAGAACTGATAAGGGGCGTCAAAGTGTGGATACCACCAGTTTCGTTGCGGCCTTTGCAGTAACAGAGGAACCTTGGCTCATACAAGTGGCATGAGGGATAGGACGGGAACACGGATAGTGGTCAGGGTGAATATCGCTTGAGGATTCCTCAACGGCACGTCGAGGATTCTCTGCCCGATCAGACACGATCTCTCGCGCGGACATTCACACTCGCCATGGGCGTGCCGTCTGTGCTCTCCGCGCGGATGTTCACTCTCGGCACTACTCTCGCATGGTAGAGAGCTATGGTCGAGGAAATCCTCGACCGTTATTCACCCTGATAGTGGTTGGTCGAAAGTGATAACAACTGATAACAGTTGATAAGGAAGTTAAGAATTTGAGTCACTAATTTCGTTGTAGCCTTCGTGGCGACAGTAAAACACTAGCTCCTACACATTGCGTGGGTGTGGGACGGGAACACCGGTGATGAACAGTGTTGATGGTGGGTGACAGGAGTGGTAATGAGCGTTAATACAGGGTGGGGCAAAATTACTGGTGCACTAAATTTTCAATGGCATTTTGACAATAATTCTCACAAATCAATTCTAATTATCAATATTATTTACTACAAACATGACAATACAAAAAATGTTAATGCTTCTCAAAATGATCTCCTTTAGCCTTCACACAGTCCTTCAGACGTTCGACAAATGCTTCGCATGTGGCACGCAGGTACTGGTCATCGATTTCGTCCCAAGATTTTGAAAGCGCCGCCTTAAGAGAGTCCAAGTTTGGATGTCTGGTAGAACACGCTTTGCTCTCCAAGATGGACCACACAGAGTAATTCATCGGGTTTAAATCAGGAGAACTGGAGAGCCATTCGTCGTGTCTGATGAAGTCGGGCAGCTGCTCGGCGCACCACTCCTGGACCATCTTTGCTTTGTGTGCATAGGAATGTGCTGAAGACCAGTGGCTTCTCGGATGGGTTGGCCCACGCTTGAGAACATTTCCATCCAGGATATTTTTGAAACTTCAAAAAAATTTCTCTGTGTTGATTTTTTACACAGCTTCAACGAAAACAAGTGGGGTCTTCCCCGTAGAGGTGACTCCTCCCCAAACAAGAATGGACTGGGGGTGTTTCGCTCTTTCCTGGAGTCTTGCCTTGGTGGTAGCATCAGCAAGTGATCCTGCAATAATCCTCTCATTTTGGGAGTTGAAGGCTGGATTCAGAGTAAAAATCTTTTCATCACTGAAAACGATGTCTCGGGCGCGTGCCACCGTGAATCGCTGCAGCAACTTCTTGCATCTCTCCAATCTCCTTTTCTTCATAATGTCCGTCAGGAGTTGGCATTTCTGCAAGCGATAGGGGAACTTCCTTAGCTTACTTCTGACAATCCTCCTCATTGACCTCGCGCTTACTCCAACGTCTTTCGCCATCTGGCGCATCGATCTCCTGGCGTTCCTTCGAATTCTTTCTCTGACGAGCCTCACATTTCTCCGACTCGTAGCTGTTGTGGGACGTCCTCTTCCTTCCCTGTCCTCTTCGGTCTTCAGTTCTTTATAGCGTCGTACTGTATTCTGAACCGTCCTTCGAGGTACGGAAAGGATCTTCACAATTTCTCTTGTTTGCTTGCCGTCGTTGTGAAGTTTGATGATCGCGCTCCGTAGGTCAGAACGACGGACCATTTTGTATTCGAGTACGTAGGAATTACGCAACCTCCAGGCAACATATCACAAGCGAGTGAAACAGGAAAATCTCCAAGAAGTGAATTAAAATTGAACTAGGTTCTTAGCACGTGAATATGCTCAATTCCTAACCTTTCACCAAAAAAGCAAAGGAACTTGAGCCACTCAACTATCTGGACTGACCAATAGCGAATTTCCATCAGAGCTAGGCTAGATGCTGATTGATTGTCATATTTCACTCCCACACCGATACCCAATTGTAAAATTCTATAGACCGCTAAATCATCCGAGCTCGATATGAATGCTAAATGTTTACGAAGTCATGATAAGTGCCAGCTTCATTCCGCATGCACTAAACTGGTATTCCATAAGGTCGTTCTTATTTAACATTCTGTGAACCCTTAATATACATATGCACAATGAAGGTTGCTAATGAATACAGAGGTTAGAAATGTTTCAGATGTGCAGAAAACAAGATTTTGAAGTGGCACTAACCGGTGGGTGCCATTGTCGCCAGAGAGTTAGTGAATACTGTACTTTCAGAAGTATGGTGCCATTGTCTTCATTCCGCTCTTCACCATACCGTCATGTGTCTGTCTTGTGTTCATCTATTTATATCTTCCGGAGACAAAGGGTAAAGAAATCGAGGAAATCATCAATGAAATGCTCATAATGGCGAAAAAATCGCCGATAACGGGAGAAGAAAATTCACAGCGGGTACGACCGAAATGTAAAGTTTTTGCGACACAATCGACACCGGTTGTTTCGACGTGATCAGCCACAGCAAGGAGGAATAGTTGTCTCACTTGTTCCGCTCAGTGCTTGATAAGACTTATTTGATATTGACATAGGTATCGCACACATGCATACATCTCTGAGTCTTATAATGTTCCCCTAACGATACGCGGCGTTCAGGAGATTTCGACCACTTAGTACTTTCATTAGCATTTTAGATTTTTAATGAGCTTGATTGACGATCTGCCGTGCAGAGAATTTTTTTTTCGTAGATTAGATTCTCGACACAACTCTCTCCATTGCTTGTTTTCATCGTCTAGGAATCTTTTCGTGAAGGCTTGAACAGCTTTTGCTCTGCAATTTCTTCTTTCCTTGAGAGTGGAGGCGAAATAAGCAGAAGCACGAATCCCGAGTGATGACAAATTATTATAATTTTTTATGATGTTCTGTAATCATTGATCTTATTTTGTTGACAAACGCAAATTTATGCGCGCAATTTCACATTTTTAAGCGGACAATGAATACTTAGATTTTTTACAATTTCATAATTAGCATGAAGTTACGATCTTGAAATTAAAATTCACTGCAATCACCATTTTTCAATGTTTATGCGATGGTATGGGTGTAACATTGTAATTGAATCATTAATGGTGCTTCATTATCAGGACTCACAGCTCCATATTTCAATACAATGTATAGCTCGTCCCAAATAAAGAGTTTTATGATGTGATTGTTATTCGCTATTACGTGATCTTCGCTACGGTATCGTGTTGTATTAGGTCGCTCGGAGGAACTGAGCTATGGAGGAGAGCAAATGGTTATCCATTAGCACGAGAGCAGGGTTATGAAACAGAAGCGAAAGAAGTTCCCCTTCCGAGAGATTCAAAGTTTTCAACGAATTTTTTTTTTTTTTTTTTTTCTTGTTGGCCCAATGCTAGAGTCGAGCGGTCTCAGAAAAAAGGACTATGCCTTGTTTTTCTTTCATCAAAGCGCTGCAATCAAGCTGTTGACAGCCGATTTGTCACTGGCTGTGGCCCTAGCAGGTAAGAATTTCCCGTGCACAATCGCTCTGGTATTTTAGCGAAAATTCTGAAAGGCATGGTTGTAGCAGGGCTGAATTCCAGCCGGCAAGAAATTTCATTAGGGTTCCAGCTAACCATGAAGCCACTGCTCTCTCGTAAGAATTGCTTAGCACACACTATCCTCACCTCAACCCTAGCGAACAAACTTGATAGTCAGCGAAGGGATGATTTGAATCCAAAGAAACACGGAGATGTCAAATGGTGTTCGGAGTCAGGGTGAAAATCGTGTCGAGTACGTGGTCGCAGAAGTACGACCCCCCCCCGAAATCGAGATCCTGGCACGACCCCCCAAAACAGAGCAAATTAATTCAATTAATTAATCAAAAAAAATCCTGCAAAATAAATCAAAAAAATCCTGCAAAATAATGTTATGGACGCCTCATCTTGTCATCTATGCACTGTCTTTCATCGCTGCACACTTTTGTGTATTTACTGAAATATCGACTCGAGGAAAGAGGCATTAACTTTGTGTGACCTCAAAGCGAGGTTCGTTCAGAAATGCACAGAAATCCTGAAGGCACGGGGTTGCGATTCAATCTTGATTCTTGCTTGAGTATATCAAAACAGCCGAGTGTATCAAAGGCCGATTCAACGGCAGCTGCGGCGCGATTGTCACTGGGTCAGATTTGCTGAAATCCCGAAAAAAAACCGTCGAAATCTACACCCTCGATGAAAAGGTTGCATTCCTCCATTTCATAACCTTTGAAGCAGTTTGAGGTAGGGTTAGATAGAGCTGGATTTCGCGTTTCCAAGAAGTATTGAAATTGCTCTGAAAGTCTTCCATGCAGAAAGATAGGGTCTCTCAAATTTCGTCGAGTAAACGTCGAGGACGCTGAAATTTTCATGCTAGTTTTTGCCACTTCAAAAGCAATATCTCTATAATGTCGTAAGGTCCTGAAAAAGGGAGACAGTTTTCGGAAAGCGGAAGGTTTGCACTTTCTGATGGTCTCTTAAAGTTAAATTTATGTTTCTTCCTGTGGACCACACGAAGGTTGATACATGGAACTTTTATTAAAGGTGGACCTGACGTTTCAACCTCGTGTGGCAGCTGCAGAACATAAACATTAGCCGGCTCATGCCGAGGTTCCCAACGAAGTTATTACGTGGGTCTTCTTAGCTTTTTCTACATTTCCTAGTTGAGAAGATATCTGCGTCGAGTATGTAACGAGGACGGATCCGGCCACCTGAAAATCCGCTCCCTCCTTCACCATTGCAAGTGTAATTGTTGGCAACGCTTGAAATGGGTCTAGAAAACATCCTCCCAACATAAGCAATAGGAAAAGGGGCAATCGTCATCATCGAATTTTGTCTGAGTATAGGCCATGCATCCGACCTCACTCGAAGTTGCAATCGATTCGAAGGTGTCATATGATCATGACCAGTTGACAGAAGCTGCATTGTAGTAACGCATTTCGTAACTCCTACAACCTAAAGAACAACTTCATTTGCCCAGGGCTTTTCCTTCACGGTTGTCGTTTTTGCGACAGGGTCCCTAACAACAGTGTCATTCTCAGCGAGGTATTAAGGGAGAAGGAGCGAGCGATAGGCAGAGGAGGTGCCTTTGCAGCGCGTGCGCACATGTGGCAGTCTTCTTGTTAGACGGATGCGGGAAGTTCTCTGTTTGGATTCACACGGACAAGTGGCAGTAAGCTAAAGTGGTGTGCTGCAAAGCAACCGACCGATGCCTTGAATGCCAAGATGTCTTTAAGATGGTATGTATTAATGTAGTATGAATTGATAGGTAAAGCAGCTGAAATGAAAAAATACACCACATGGCTCTCACCTCCGTATTTTGCTTGAAACATCATCATTCTTTTATAGTGACTGGGATTAGTAGCGGTTGCATTGGTAATTTATGGGCTGAGGAATGACAGGCCAAGTAAATTATGGTTATCAAGGAAATAAAATGCATAATCTTGAATGGTTCTGGGTCTACATTCTTACGCATATCGTTATCAGCCCTTGTCGGACGTTATCTTTATGTTCCCACCTAACCCACCCCATGCCCGTCTTATCTTCTACATAACGCGTTGGAACCAACGCCTCACTACAGGTTGGACACTCCCTGTGGTATCCGAGATACTTGCGTTCTGACAACACTTCTTATCAGTCCTTATCAGCTGTCATCAGTTTCTGGCTCCAAATATGTACCCGTAACATCCCCGCATCACTTGTCGGGATGGTCGCCTTACTGCTGCTGGGACATCCCCTTCGCTATCGGAGATCAGGGCGAATAACGGTCGAGGTAATCTTCGACAGGGATGTATTTGCTCCAATAAGAGGTGAGTGGGGGGGGGGGGGGCGGGGGTGGGAAGCAGGGTCGGTCCTATCGTTGCTACTTTTTGGATTTTTTCTACGACCCCCCCCCCTTCATGGGCGATTTGGTACGACCCCCCTGTGTGTAGCTCAAGTGGTGATAAGATTACTTAAACAATAATAATCATATGAATTAAAACTTTTTTAGACAAGAATGCTGAATTTCGGTTCAAATTTCATAAAAGACGAGTTACCATTCCGAAAAACAGCGTAGGCATGGAATTAGGACATAAAGTCATTTATGATACGGACCTCATGGCTGAGGGCTAAAGGTTTGACAGGTTTTTGACAGGTTACGTTTCTGTGGTGGATCGCGCCCTCGGTGACCGCAGTGGGGCGCGTTTGTTGAAGGGGAACAGGTGTCGAAAGGGGAAATCGAGAAGTAGAAGAATTTTTCCTCGTGAAATTTCAGGTTCCTCGGAAGACGGAGGTGGATTCTGGATCACCGACGGTCATCCTTCTTAATTAGAGCGGATTTGTTCTTAAACAATCTGAAATGATTAAGTTATTGAAGCAAGAAATGAATTTGCACTACAATTTTCACCTTCCTCTTTTTAGGGCTATAACTTTCTTCATATTCGAGCTTTTGCGCCGGAGTTATTTGATTTAAAAATTCAAATCATTCTCTCTCCAATCATGGCTGAAATTTGAGCGAAAGCTAATTTAGTAAAAATTTAGCACGTTGAAACTTTTTTCTGTGCAAACGCGACTTTTCAAGCTTTTAAACGACCATAACTTCCTTCAAATTCATTTATTTGGGAAGCTGAACCCGGTATGAGAAACTACAAGATTCAAGCTTCCTAATAAGTACCCAAAGGTATTTTAAAAGCGAGTAATTCAAAAATTAGTCCCGTTGCTACATTTTAGGGGGGTTCGCGGAACTATTTTTCTGAAACCGCGACTTTTCAAGCTTTAAACGACTATAACTTCCTTCAAATTCATTTATTTGGGAAGCTGAACCCGGTATGAGAAACTACAAGATTCAAGCTTCCTAATAAGTACCCAAAGGTATTTTAAAAGCGAGTAATTCAAAAATTAGTCCCGTTGCTACATTTTAGGGGGGTTCGCGGAACTATTTTTCTGAAACCGCGACTTTTCAAGCTTTAAACGACTATAACTTCCTTCACAAACTGTGTTAAATTTCATCTCATTATTTGGGAAGCTGAACACGGTAATGAGAAACTAGAGGATTCAAGCTTTCTAAAAAGTACCCAAAAGTTTCTTAAAAGTCAGTAGTTCAAAAATTAGTCCCGTTGCTACATTCCTTTTTGAAGGGCATTTTCCAAGCCATTCTTTCAAGAAAGCGGGTTTTTTAGGTTTCACTGCCCGTAACCTTCAGGGAAAACGAGATCGTGCTGACGATAGGATGTGTCAGAATGCTTTGTGCATGTGCTTGCACTGGTATCCCCCTGTCTTGGTGTGCGCCACGCCTCGGTCGCACTCCTGATTCGCTGATTCATTTGGAAGGTCATTCGGAAGTAAGGGGTTTATAAACGCTCTAGCATCAATAATCTTGCGTAAACGTAATGTGCTGACTATTGTCCATGTTGTCTTAGGCAATACTCCAGCTACACTTTAGTTTCAAATGTGGTTACGTGCGTGGACCCATGTCATGGTGGGGGCACTTTTTTGTACGATGCT